TTGGGCGCATATCGTTGCTGCAGTATGTCGGAACACCATCCTCAGAATCTTCCATTCTTCGCAACTCTACCCATTCACAAGCGCCCAAATCGGTTCCGTCAATACCTGCGTATGCTAGACTTACTGACTCAATTCAATAACCGCGCACCGCAAAATCAAAAGGAAAATGACAACTCACTTTCTGGTAGATCTTTGACTTTTCCTCCACCACATAAAAAGTTTTTGGCAACAATGTCATCAATGAACGGTTCACCTTCCGAGATGCCTGAATATGCACACTTGCACGTTTCAATATAGTTTGTAAAAGGCGTTGACAAAAATAGGTAGTTAGAGGCAGTGTCCTGGTAGAGTTTCGTTTTCAAGTTTTTCACCGATCTGGAGCCTTCTCGCCATGAAAAAAAGAACCCATATCTAGGCTTTACAGCGCATGAAAATAGCAAGAACGAGAGTTTCTCAAAGCTTTCCAGGCCCCCATTCAGCAAAAATACGCCAGAAATTTTCCGCGCTCCGCCCCTCTCTTTTCGGACTCCGCCCAATTACGCGTATTTTCCAGTGCGGACCTGAAAGCTTGGAGAAAGGCTCATTTTCGCCATTTTCATGCGTTGAAAGGCAGAGATAAGGGTTGCTCATGGCAAGGAGGCTCCGAAAAGGTTAAAAACCGGAAAACGAAATTCTGCCGGGGCATTGCTTTCAATATAAGCCACAGAAAAGTGATCTAACTTACCTGGAACACCTTTTATGCAAAGCAAATGACTTTCACAAGCGAGGAACGTTTCGATAACATTGTTCGGATTGTTAGCATCGAGAATTGCTACATGGCTCTTGCCCTGATTAGAACTACCAATCCACACCACTGACGAAGATTCCCACTCAGCCAATTCACACTCTCGAGCATCCAAAGCTCGTGCTCGCTAAAATCCATAGAAATTGTTGTAAAAAATTGTTACTGAATAGTGGTACCGTGATTTCATCCTCAAGTTTGTCGCTGCCCTCTTTTCCTTTCGGTAATACAGCAGCCCTCGGAGAAAAGTAGATGGGATCACCGGTGATGAACTTTCCATCCTTGTCTAGTCCTCCACGCAATGTCACAGCCGTGGCGCACCAGACCTTCAATGTAAACAGAAAGGTAGAGAACATCCGAAATTTTAGAAAAATGCTGGGAACACAAAAATTACGAACAGTATAGAAAAGTTATTCAACATTAGTATTCTAAGAATTCTTTCCGACCTTGATAGACGGCTGATTTTCCATGAGTGGTCGACAACATACTGGAACTGGTACCATCGATGATGCATTTGAATTATCAAGAGTTGCTGGCAGTGACCATCCATATGCCTGAAAAAAATTAAAATCACGGTCTGAATAAGTTTACTAGATCAGACTGTGAGTTCTAAGCATACAAGCAACTTTGACTAAATCGAAAAAAAGTTCAAATATGGATAGTTGGGTTACAATGCGATACATGCTGAAAGATTCCCAGACATTTTTGTAAACTACTGATTCATGCCTAATGGGATATGATTCTCTCTGAGACAAGTATACCAAGATATCCCACATGCAAAAGTTACGCTATTGCGCACCTGTGGAAATGATGATGTGAAATTAAGCGCTGATGCTTTAGCCCGTGATGGGTATAAGTGAACCAAGATAGGAAAGGCTAGTAGATCTGACGCTTCATTTAGTATCCCATTGCCCACATTTGCCGACAACATTTGCGCGTGAACAATTACGCGCCTGATGCCAGAGGCACGTACCGCACTTATTCGGTTCAACCGATACATCTGATTCGATTCAGCCTATTCGCCTTGGTCAATCAATGATTAAAACTGGGTACGTAAAACTCTGATAGGTATGGGTAAGACCCACACCTTTCAGACTTTT